GCAGTGCCCTGAACATCAGCGTCTGTCCCCTGACGGAGGCGGCCGGCCGCGTGAGCACCTCAGCAGGGGGCTGGAAGGGGGCTGTGGGGTCCCGGAGGGGCTAACGCACCGTGTCCCTCTGTCCCCCAGTTCACCGTCATCCTCTACAACCCCCTGGGCCGCCGTGTCTCCTGGCCCATCGGCCTGCCGGTCACCGGGGCGTCCTGCGCAGTGCCGGCCCCCCAGGGCCAGCCTGTACCCAGCGAGGTGAGCCCAGGTCAGCTGCCGCGTCCCCCTGCCTGCCCGTGGCCCCCCCGTCCCCGACCCTCCCTGTCTGTCCCCAGGTCGTCCCCGTCTCCAACTTCACCCGCCGGCTGCGGGAGGGTGGCGGCAGCGCCGTGTGGGAGCTCCTCTTCCAGGCCTCCGCGCCCCCTCTGGGCTTCAGCACCTTCACAGTGCTGAGCCGTGGGGACCCCCGTGCGCACCCCGCCCGCACCCCGGTGTTGTCGCAGCCTCGGGAGATCCAGAATGAGGTACGGTCCCACTGTGGGGGATGCATTCCCCCCACAAGTGCCTGGCACTGGGCGGACGCAGTTTGGGGTCTTCCCCCACGGGGTCCTGGGGGGGGAAAAACCCACAACCTTAAGCTCCCGGTGGATTCGCGCCTCCGTTGACCCAGTTAAACCAGTCCTGGGGTGACAGGAGGAGCTGGGGGCGTGGGAGGGGGCTGAGCGGGGACCGGGCAGATGCTTGACCCGTCGCCGTCCGGCCCCGCAGCACCTCCGGGTGCTCTTCGACCCCCTCACCGGGCACCTGAAGGAGATCCAGAACCTGGACAAGAGCATCTTGCTGCCCGTCTTCCAGAACTTCTACTGGTGAGTGCTGGTGGGGCCTGGACACCGGGGTCCCTCGTGCGGGACCTTCCTCCACCGCCTCTCCTCCTCTCGCCCCAGGTACAACGCCAGCGTCGGCAACGACGAAAGCCCCCAGGCCTCGGGCGCCTACATCTTCCGCCCCAACAGCTCCGAGCCCATCCCCGTCTCCAGCTCCAAGCGGGTCTCCACACACCTGGTGAAGGTGGGTGGTGGGGATGGTGTCCCCGGGGCCGGGGGCGTCCCCAGGGTGCTGAGCCCCCAACCCTGTCTCTTGCAGAACGCTCTGGTGCAAGAGGTCCACCAGAACTTCTCCTCGTGGTGCTCCCAGGTGGTGCGGCTCCACGCGGGGCAGCCCTACGTGGAGCTGGAGTGGACCGTGGGGCCCATCCCCGTGGCGTGAGTCAGGGATGGGGAGCCCCTGGGGAGGGGAGGGGAGGGGGGGGCCCCTCGGAGCGACCCGCTCAC